TTTCCCCAGTGCCAGTGCTGTGTGTCCCAGCCCCAGGGGCTGCCCCAGCCCTGTCCTGGGTGTCACCTGTGTACCCTATGGCCTCCCTGAAGCCAGGGCTGAGCTGTGCCCTGTGCTATGTCCTGTGCCCTGTGCCATGTTCTGTGCCATTCCCTGTGCCATGTCCCGTGCCATTCCCTGTGCCCTTTGCCATTCCCTGTGCTATGTCCTGTGCCGTGTCCTGTGCCATATCCTGTGTTGTGTCCTGTGCCATTCCCTGTGTCCTGTGCCATTCCCTGTGCCGTGTCCTGTGTCATGTCCCGTGCCCTGTGCCATGTCCTGCGCCATTCCCTGTGCCCTGTGCCATGTCCCGTGTCCTGTGCCATTCCCTGTGCCCTGTGCCATGCCCTGTGCCATGCCCCATGTCCCGTGCCCCACACCATGGTGTCCCCACACCCCGTGCCGTGCCCCACGCCGTGGCCGCGCTATCCCCACACCCAGTCCCACGCCGTGCCCGTGGGCAGCAAACAGGACGGGCGCACCGTGACAGAGGCTCTTTGCACCAGGAGCACCGCGGGCAGGGTGTCACCGCCACGGCCCCACCACCGGGTCCCCTCGGGGGGCCCCCCGGCACTGACACCCCCTGATTTATCGCCCTCGTTAGCGCAGGCCTGGAACCATCTGGCAGCAATTAGGCCGCAGCTCGGGCGTCACCCGCCCCGGCGTCCCCACGGCCTCGCCGTGCGCCGTTTTCGCCGAGACCCTCGGCCTGCGGCGCGGGGGCCGCATCCTGCCCACACGAGGGGGGGTTATCGGCGGCCATCGGCGCCGGCTCCCCCCGCGCCGGTGACGTCAAGCGCTGACGCCGATCCACCCCCTCAGCCGCCCGCGGGCTTGGCCGGCCGTGACGTCTGCGGCCTCCACCGCCGCCACCGCCGCTTAACTCCTTCCCCGGTGACGGTTGAGCGGGGCCTCAAGGGGCTCACGGTGGAGCCAAGGTGTTGGGCCTGGCCTGAGCGACCCCCTCGGTGGTGGTGTGACCCCCCTGGTAAACTGTGCTTGGCTGCCCGCCGTGTGGTGGCAAACCGACCCATCGGCACCGGTGTCACCGGGATGCGCCGGTGACAAACGTCGGGGCGGTGACAAGGGACAGGCTGTGATGAGGGAAGTGTGGGGACACGCAGGGACGCTGGTTCTGTCCCACTGGGGCACGGCCCGGGCAGGCCCTGTTGTGCCTGGTGCCGGTGGCCTGTCCCAGTTTGACCCATGTGGGTGGTGGCCTGGCCGTCCCCAGAGGGTGTCATGAGGCCCCGTGACCCGGTGTGTCTGTTTATTTCTTTGTTGTGCCCTTTTACAGCCGGGGCCTGACCTGGTGCCAGTGCCCGGTGCTGGTTCTGGTGCCAGTGACTGTGCCCAGTATCGCTCCTGGTGTCGGTGACTGCTCAGTGTCAGTGCTCAGTGGCTGGTTCCTGTGCCCTGTGGACGGTGCCCAGCTCCCGGTGCCGGTTCCCATTCCCATGCCCGGTCCGGTTTCCACAGGCGGTCCCAGTTTCCAGTGGCCGGTGGCCGATTCCCATGTCCCGGTTCCCACTGGCTGGCAGCCTGTTCCCGTGCCCGGTTCCCATTCCCATGCCTGGTGACTGGTGCCTTGTGGCTGGATCCTGTTCCTTGTGCCCGGTCCTGTGCCCCGTGCCTGGTTCCTGGTGCCAGTTCCCGGTCCCTATGCCCGGTTCCCATTCCCTGGTCCTCGTGGCTGGCTCCCATTCTTCGGTGCCGGTTGGCACTCCCGGTTCCCGTTCCCGGTACCTGTTCCCGGTACCCGTTCCCGCCCCTCTCTTTATGACCGTCAGTCTCGGCGGTTGGCAGTCCGGTTCTCGTTCCCGGTGCCCGTTCCCGCCCCTCCCTTTGTGCCCGGCAGTCCCGGTGCCGGTTGGCAGTCCCGGTTCCCGGTGCCCGTGCCCGTTCCCGATTCCCATTCCCGCCCCTCCCTTTGTGCCCGTCAGTCCCGGCGGGGGTGTGGGGGGTGTGTGCACGTGACCGCCCCTCCCCCGCGCTGACGTCATCCCAGGGCCCCGCGCGCTGTTGTCCCGTTTACCCGCCGGTTGCCCCGGCGACGGCGCGGCCGGGGGTGGGCGTGGCCCGGCGAGTGGGCGTGGCGCCACCTCCCCGGGGCGGCGGCCCCTCCCCTTATGCAAACGAGGGCGGGCGAGCACGTCATCTGCAGCCAATGGAGGCCCGGCGCGGTGAGGTCACCGCGGCGGCGCCTCCTATTTAAAGCCGCGCGGGGCCCGCGGCGGCGGCAGACGTGTGTGCGCGCGCGCAGGAGCGGGGCCGCGGCCGGTGCGCACCGGGCGCCTCCCCCGCCCCCTCCCCAATCCCCTTCCCCGCGCTCGCCCCGGTCCTCCCCCCCCCCCTCCCGGCCCCGTTTCCCCCGCAGCCGGGCGGGGGAGGAGGATGGAAACACCCTTCTACCATGATGATGTGTTGAGCGGCCTCGGCAGCGGCTTCGCCCCGTCCTCCGGCAGCAGCGGGCTCCTCCTGCCCTTCCCTGGCGGCAGCATGATGAAGAAGGACGCGCTCGGCATGGCCTTACCGGAGCAGTTGGCGGCGGCGCTGAAAGCCCCCGGCGCGGCCAGCGGCGAGGCGGCGGGGCTGCTGGGCTCGGCCGAGCTGGGGCTGCTCAAACTGGCGTCGCCGGAGCTGGAGCGGCTCATCATCCAGTCCAACGGGCTGGTCACCACCACCCCGACGAGCGGGCAGTTCCTCTACCCTAAAGCGGCCGCCTCCGAGGAGCAGGAGTTCGCCGAGGGCTTCGTGAAGGCGCTGGAGGACTTGCACAAGCAGAACCAGCTGGGCGGCGGCGCGGCGGGGAGCGGCGGCGGCGGAGGAGGGAGCGGCGGCGGCGGCGGGAGCGGCGGCGCGGGCGAGCTGCCCGCCGCCGGGATGGCCCCGGAGCCGCCGGTCTACGCCAACCTCAGCACCTACCCGGCCGTCAGCTACGCCGCAGACCCGGGGCCCTTCGCGGCGCCGCCGCCGCGGCTCCCGCCGCCGCCCCCGCCGCCGCCGCCGCTGAAGGACGAGCCGCAGATCGTGCCGGAGGTGCCGAGTTTCGGGGAGAGCCCGCCGCTGTCCCCCATCGACATGGACACGCAGGAGCGCATCAAGGCGGAGCGGAAGCGGCTGAGGAACCGCATCGCCGCCTCCAAGTGCCGCAAGAGGAAGCTGGAGCGGATCTCCCGGCTGGAGGAGAAGGTGAAGAGCCTCAAGAGCCAGAACACGGAGCTCGCCTCCACCGCCAGCCTGCTCCGCGAGCAGGTCGCCCAGCTCAAGCAGAAGGTGCTCAGCCACGTCAACAGCGGCTGCCAGCTCCTGCCCCAGCACCAGCATCAGGTGCCGGCGTACTGACCGGGGGGGCCCGAGCCCGGGAACGGACTTTGAGGGGTCCCGGGCACGGACCGAGGGGAGCGGGGGGAACGCCCGCCCTGCCCCGGGCACGGACCGAGGGGAACTTGGGGAGAACCCGCCCTGCCCCGGGCACGGACCGAGGGGAACTTGGGGAGCCGCCCGTGCGTGCCGGGCATGGACTGAGGGGAGCGGGGGGAGCGCCCCAATCCCGCCCCGGGAACGGACCGAGGGGTCCCTGGCACGGAGCGGGGGGAGAGCCCGCCATGCCCCGGGCGCGGACTGAGGGATGCCGGGCATGGACGGAGGGGTCCCGAGGGGAGGAAGAGGAGCGATAATCAGCCCCCTCAGCTCCCTGAGGGGTCCGAGCGGGGGTCCGGGACCGGCTCCGGGCGGTGGGCACCGAGCACCCCCCGCGCACCGGCTGCGGGGAGGGAGAAGCCGGGGGTTCCCCTCACGGATTGAGGGGGGACCTGGGCCTTCCCCCCCGTGCCCCACACATTCCAGTCAGGCCCCAGTAAAGCCCCGCGACACGGAGAATTTGGCCTCTCGCTGTTTGCTGCGCCGGCGGGGGACGGGAAGGGAAAGGAAGGGAAGGGGCGGCGCGGGCAGGAAGCGGCGCGGCCGGGGGCCATCTTGGGGTGGGGGGGGGGGCGGGGGGGGGGGGGGGTTGGGGGGGGTTGGGGGGAGAGTTTTCGGGGTGAGAGGAGTCGGGGGAGGGGGAAGAGTGGTGCTGGAGAAGGGGCTCTGGGAAGAGGGGGGATTAGAGGGTCTATGGGGTTGTGGGGTTGGGGGCGCTTTAGGGTTGCTGGGAAGCGCGGGGGATGGTGGGGGGGGGGGAGTTCCGTCGGGCGGTAGTGGAGGGTTTGGATGTTGGAGGGGGGTTTGGTGGGGTTATTGGGGCTCGCTTGAGGGGCTTGGGATTACTGGGAGTGCTGGGGCAGGAAAATCTCGTCAGGTAGTAGCGCATCTGGATTTGGGTGTTGGGGGGTGCTCCCTGGAGGGGGTGTACTGAGGCTCCTCTGAGGGGTTTTGGGGTTACTGGGTCTCTCTTGGGGGGATATGCTTTTACTGGGGATCCCCGTGGGTGAGGGGAACCTGCTGCCGGTCCCGGCTGTGGCTCTGCCCTGTCAGACCCCTGGTTCCTCTGTGTTGGGGGTTCACTGACACCGACACCCCCCTGTCCCGGCACCCCGGGGTCACCCCCTGGCACCCAGCGAGGCTGGGCCTCCGCTGCTCCTCCCCAGACTTCGGGAACTGGCCTTGACTTCCCGGCACTGCCATCGCTCCTCCTCTGCCTCCCCCACCTGTGGGGCCCTATCCTGGCTCCATCCAGGGAGCAGCACCCGAGAAACCAACCCTCTGCTCCTGGAGTGTTTAGGGATGGTACTGGAGGCAGCTTTGGCCTGTTCCAGCACTGGGATCACCCCGCTCCAGGGGAGCCTGGCACGGGGGGGGCTCTGCCGTGGGTGACGGGAGGAGTGTGAGCTCCTTTGGGACCCTGCCGTGGGTGGCTCCCTGGGGACCCCGTGCTCGGTGCCAGCCGGCTGCGGTTTGGCGGAGGAAGTGCCTTCCCCGCCGTGTGGAAGCAGCCCCGGCGTGGTTGAGCTGCGCCCCGGATGCGCTGCTCCAGCACCAAGACGGACGGGGCTGCCACCTGTCTCCCTGTGGCAGGGCCAGCAACAGCCCCGTGGCTCTGGTGTCCCCGTGCCACCACAGCCCTGCGTGCCCAAGTCACTGTGTCCCAACATCTCCAAGTCCCTGCATCTTGATGTTCCCAGATGCCTGTGTTCTCAAGACCCCACATTCCTTGTCCTCAAGTCCCTGCATGCTGAAATCCCCAGATCCCATTTTCCCCTAAGTCCTTGCGTTCTGATGTCCCTTTGTCCCTTGATCCCTTTGTCCCCAAAGCCCCACATGCTGCTCTCTCTGTGTGTCTCCAGATCCCTCTGTCCCTCAGACCCCACATCCCAATGACCCACATTCCCAGATCCCTTTGTCCCCAAATCCCCACATGCTGCTGTCCATGCATCCCCCAGAGCCCTTTGTCCCCCAAGTCCTCACATCCCGACATCCCCACCTTCCCAGATCCACTTGTTCCCCCCTCCCCCCCAAGACCTCGGGATGCTGACAGGGCTGCCTCCCGGTGCCTGGGGTGGGCGGGTGGGGGTCTCACGGCCCCGGGGTGCGAGGTGCGCGGGTGAAAACTGATGCCCGGGTCCAGGGGGCTCCTCCCGGTGCCCGCAGGGTCCCGGTGCTGCGGGACCGCCCGGTACCGACAGAGGGCGCCGCGGGCGGGGTCGCCCCCGCCTCCCCCGGGGCGGATGAAGGCGGCGGGACCGGCATCGGGACCGGGAGCGGGCGGGATGCTCCCGGGAGCCCTCCACCTGCTCTGCTGCGCCGCTGCCCTGCTCGCTGCTGCAGGTAACGGGCACCGGGGGGGGGGCCCGGGGGCATTCGGGATCTGCAGCACCGGGGGGTGGGTCTGAGGCCTCCCCCCACCCAGTCCCGGGTACCGGGAGGGGGGTTGAGGTGCTCCGGGGCACCAGGGAAGTTCGGGGAGGTGACCATGTGCTCCCCTGAACTCTGCACTGACAGCTTAGTGGGGAACTGAGAGGGTCCCTGTGCCCCCCACCGGGGCCTCATGGCACAGGGAGGGGCTGCACCTGCTTCCCAGAGGTGCCAGGCTGGAGGGGAGCACCTGTACCCTGTACTGTGCCCAGTACCCTGTGCTGCTGTGGGCCCCCCATTTCCAGCCCGGGCCCCCAGCACCCCCACCCTGCACCCCAAGGTGCCTCAGCTCACCCTTCCCGGCATAGGGTGCTTGGCCCTGGGTTCAACCATCCTGGTGTGAGGCAGCAGCTGGGTGGGAACAGCCCGTCCTGGTGGGTGCAGCAGCCGTGGGGACCCCCAGCCCGCGGCCACGCTGTGCCCCTGGGTGTTGGCGCTGGGTGCTGGCTCTGCCACGAGGCATTTTGCTCCAGTGTCCCCCTGGGGCCAGGCTGGACCTGCTCCTCCTCTTGTGCAAACAGGACTTGGGCAGATAAGGGCACTGCCCGGAAAACACCACCATGTCCCACGTGGCCCCAGCGGAGTCCCCATCACGCCCGGCCCTGAGGGTGTCTGGTGGGTGCCACGAGGGCCGGGCTGGCACATGTCCCTGTGCCGTGGCACTTACCTGCTGCTGCCACGCTGCTCTGCTTGTGCAACAACCGGTTGGGAGGCTCTTTCTGACCCTGTGTTTCTGGGAGCCCATATTGGCTAAATCCCAGTTTTCTGTGTGTGATGAAAAACACCTGGGAAGCGATCCCTGTGGCACCGGGAGCCCAGGCAGGTGCTGCTGCCCTTCCTGGGGCCCTGCCTGCCCCTGCCAGGGTCCTGCTGTGTCCTTGCTGACCAGCTCTCTCCTCCAAGGTCTAGAGCCAGGACATGGCACCAATGTCTCCTCCACAGTGGCTCTAAGCAGCTCAGGGACAGCCGTGTCACCGAGTCCGTCCAGGACACTGGGATCAGCAGCACCTCCTGTGTCTCCATCCAATACCACCATGGCACCGAGTCCATCCAGGACACTGGGATCAACACCACTTCCAGTATCTCCATCCAACACCACCACACCGACTCCATCCAGGACACTGGAATCAACACCACTTCCAGCATCTCCATCCAACATCACCATGAAACCATCTTCATCCAGGACAACGGGATCAACACTGCTTCCAGCATCTCCATCCAACACCACCACACCAAGTCCATCCAAGACATTGGGATCAACAGCACCTCCAACATCTCCATCCAACACCACCACACCGACTCCATCCAGGACACTGGGATCAACAGCACCTCCAGCATCTCCATCCAACACCACCACACCGACTCCATCCAGGACACTGGGATCAGCAGCACCTCCAGCATCTCCATCCAACACCACCACGGCACTGATTCCATCCAAGACATCGGGATCAGCAGCACCTCCAGTATCTCCATCCAACACCACCATGGAACCACCTTCAGCCAGGACACTGGGACCAGCAGCACCTCCATCCAACACGTCCACGGCACCGACTCCATCCCACCCAAGTGTGCCCAGATCCACGGGGCATCCATCCAACTCGACAGCAGTGCCAGCCCCATCCTCACCCAGGCCCTCTGGGCCCGCTCCTGCTCCCAACTCCACCACACCCACTGTGAGCCCTGGGCCCAACAGCACCTTGGCCACCAGCTCCAGAACGACACCGGCCACCGGCATCGCGGCCAACAGCTCAGGTGAGAGCCAGGCTGGGGGGCACTGGGCAGGCAGGTGACCTGGGCACGACAGCAGCCCTGGGGTCCCCTAAGACCCCCCACTTGGGACTATGCTCAGAGGGGGGCTTCAGGGGTGCAGGTGAGCCCAGAGCCCCACAGGCTGCTCCAGCCTCCTTGGGGGGTGTTGAGGGCTCCCCTTTTCTCCCCCACCTCTGTGTCACAGGACCTCAGCTGGGGGGTGTGGGAGGGCCCCAGGCTGGTCCCCCACGGGTGGAGGTGACACGGGAACTGGATGCCAGGTTTCTGACATATGGGATGGTGGAGGGGGAGAACTGGAGCCAGTCTTGAGCCCCCTCTCACCCTGAGCCCCTCCATGGTGCACAAGGCTTGGCAGTGCTGGGGGGGGGTAATGGGGTGCCCATCTCGCCCCCACAGAGCAGCAGCTGAGCTCTGGCGTGGTCGTCATCATCTGCCTCTTCGTCTGTGTGCTGGTGGGGGGCACAGCGGTGCTGCTGGTGCGGCTGTGCCGGCGCAGGACCCCCCGTGGGACCCCCCCCTTCCACCACCTGGACGAGGTGCCCATGGTGAGTGGGGGGGCCAGGGCTGCTGAGGGGGGGGCTGGGAGGGGGCCAGGATGTGGGTACTCACTGCACTGTCTCTCTCTTCCTTAGAGCAAGGTGATGGAGGAGTCCCCTGTCACCCACCCCACACCCAGGTGACCCCCCCACACACACACCGCGGCCCCCCCGGGGCTCCCCGCGCTGCTGAATAAAGAAGCCGCTGCTCAGCTCTGGTTTCCCGTCTGCCATGTGCCCTGCCCGGGGAAAACCCCCGCTCCCGGGGGAGGGCCCAACCGCTTTCGGGGGTCCCCCGCTCCGGGCTGGAGGCCCCGGGGTGTTCCCAGGCCGGCGGGATGGGTGCGGGGCGGTGGTGCCCGGGGTGGGGGGGGCCCGCGCAGCCCCCCCGACGAGGTGGGATGGGAGGGAGCGAGCGGCCAGGCACGCACGTCGCCTTCCTTCTGCTCCGCTGCACTCGGCCGAGGCCGCGGCTGGCGGCGACGACCGGGCACCGGTAAGGGGCTGTGGGCCAGGGCGGGGGGCTGGCGGCAGCGGGGACCCCCGTGCCGGAGCTCGGCATCCCCTGGGAATTGGGATGAGGCTGCTCCCGGTGCCAGCCGGGGCGTGGAGGGGCTCAGTCCTGGCGTCTCTGTGGGTGCACCGCTGTGCCCCAGTTCCTCACGGGGGTGGGTGCCCGTGGTGGATCATTACGGTGGCATCGGTGGGTTCACAGCTTGGTGGGTGCTACGGGCTGGGGGGCCACCCCCGTGGCCTCAGGCCCGATGTCCCTGTCCTCATCCAGCCGGTGGGAGCACCGGCAGTGGGAAGGAGGGGCCCCAAAACCCGAGGTGGGGGACAAGATCGGGCACCCGTAAATCACGGAAGCGGGGGGAAGAACCCACGTGTCCCGGTCCCGGGGTGTCCCCGGGGTATCCCCCGCCCCGGGGGGGGTGGTCCCCACCCCCGACCCCTCACCGGCCGCAGCTCCCGGAGCTCCCCCCGCAGGGACGGCGATGAGACGGAGCCGGACGGCGCTGCCCTTCCTCGGCGCGGAGGTGAGACCGGCACCGGGGGGCACCTCGGGGGGCGAGGGGGTGTCGCGGGAGGGGGCGAGGGGTGTCCCCGGTACGGGCGTCCCAGCGCCGGCCCCGCGGGCAGCAATAACCGGGCTGGCGGCGCTGAGCGGGAGTTAATTATCCCCTTAATGGGCGGTTAATTATTATTCACCTCTGCGTAATTGCGCGCCGGCTCCGGGGGCTTTTCCGGCGGGGTCCCGGGGGAACGGGGGGGGGGGGGGGGGTCCCTCCGGTTGCGGCGGGAGGAAGAGGAGGAAGGGGGAGTCCCGGTGGCTCCGTGCGCTGCGGGACGAACCGCACCCGGTGCACCGGCTGTGCCCTTTCCCCGTGGCCCCCCCTCGCCCAGGTATCACCCCGGTACCCCCGGGGTGCAACGCCGCACCGTGCCCGCCAGGGGGCGCCAGCGCGCTACCGGCGCCCGGTACCGGGAGGGGGGGGACGGGACGGGGCTGCCCCGGGACGGGACCCTCGGACACGGACGGTGCCCCCGCAGAGCTCCGCGGTGCCGCTCCCCGCGCCCCTCACCGCCGCCCCGTGTCCCCGCAGCGCTGCCGCGACGCCGCCGAGGCCGCCCCGTCGGGCCCGGGAGCCGCGCTGGGCGCCGTCCGCCGCCGCTTCTCCGGGACCCCGCTGCTGCCGCCGCTGGGCTGCCGGTTGGCGGAGGCGGCCCGCGGCCCCGAGCCCGAGGGAGCCCGGGTGGTCTTCACCATCGAGGAGAGCGGCCCGAGCAGCGGCGACGAGTCCGAGCCCCCCCGGTAAGGGTGGGACGGGGAGCGGGGAGGTGATGCCGGCCCCCGCTGGCACCGGGAAGGGGTTACCGGGCAAGGCGCTGCTGGTGGGGACGCTCCGGGGTTCAGCACCGGCGGGCGGACAGCGGCACCGGGTCACCGGCAGAGCACCCGGTGGGCTGGGGACAAACCCCTCTGTCACCGGCCCCGGGATGTCCTTCCCGATCGCCATCTGCCCCTGTCACCCCCATCCCCAACACCCCTGTCCCCACTACACTGTGCCCATCCCCTCTGTCCCCATCACCCCCATCCCTGTCACCCCTGTCACCCCTGTCCCCACCACCCATTCCTGTCCCTAACCCCTGCCCTCATCCTCCTCACCCCCTGCTTGTCCCCATCCCCTGGCCCAGCCGGTGCCACCGCACGGTTGGCCTGGCTCTGCCCAAAATGACCTCAGCCCCTCCCGCAGTGGTTGCAGGGCTATTTTTGGGCCTATCCCGTGCCTCTCCCAGCCCAGCTTGCAGGGTCAGCATGGAGCTGGCACAGCTGAGGGTCATGGCTCCGGTGTCACTTGTCATCCGCCCCTGCAGACACGTGGGGACAGCGACAGTCGGACAGGGACTGGCTGTCCTGGGGTCAGGGACTTGCTGTCCTGTGGCCGGTCCTGTCCTGGCTGTCCAGGGGCTGCTGGTTGCCAGCCAGCCCGGGGGGGCTCTTCCCCCTCACCCCCGTGCCCTGATGTCCCTTTGTCCCAGCACCCCCTCTGCTCTGACATCCCCACAGTCGTGCCTGCAGTCCCTTGGAAGTGAGGGTGATCCCCCCACCCAGTGGGTTTTGGGGTCCCCACTGCTCCTGCCGTGGCAGGGGAGGCCCTGTTGTTGTCCCCCCTGGCTCCCTGCCAGCTGCTGGATATTTTTGTGGCCGCTGGGAACAGCAGGTATCCACATCCTGCTGCATCAGGCTGGGCAGGTGCCAGCTCCCACGGCCAGGCCGGTGGGTCACCCACTGTCACCAGCTGGACCTCGTCCTGCAGGTCACCCACGGTGCCACTGTCACCAGCCGGACCTCGTCCTGCTGCTCCCTGTTCCCCCCAGGAGCAGTCCCAGGAGGGAGCTTGGCACTGCACCAAGGAGGGGCTGGGCCACAATGTGGGGTGGGTTTGGCTCTCACTGGTCCCTCGGTGGTACCGTGGCACAACCACACCACGTGTCTGGGATGCTCCAGGCTCAGCCCTGTCCCTTGGTGGCACTGTGGCATGTCCACACTGCAAGTCCAGGATGCTCCAGGCTCAGCCGTGTCCCTTGGTGGCACCATGGCACAAATGGCACCACAGCACAACCACACCGTGTGTTTGGGATGCTCCAGGCTCATCCCTGTCCCTTGGTGGCACCGTGGCACAACCATACTGTGTGTTTGGGATGCCCCTTGGCGGCACCGTGGCACGTCCATTCCATACGTCTGGCTCACTGAGGGGTCCGTGTGGCATTTTTTTCCGTGTGCCCAGGCAGAGCACCCCTGCCCTTTCGGGAGCAGCTGCCGCCTCGGGGAGACAGCAGGGTGGCCGGTGGCACCGGGCCAGCGAGGGGCCACGTGCCCGAGCCGCCAGGAACACCGGGGGGGGACCCGCTCCCTGCGCCGGCTGCCGGAGCCAGACAGTTGTTTAATTTCCCAGGCGCAGGGCGGGAGGGGGATGGAAAGTTTCCCGGGGCCGCCGGGGCCGGGACGGCCGCACGCTTCCTGCTCCGCACCGGGGGCGCCGGGGCCGCGCCGGGGCCGCGCCGGGGGTCCCTGAGCCGGGCCATGCTGCCCACCCCGCACCCCTCGCCGGGGGCTTCTCCGGCAGCCTCCCCCCGCAATTCCCCCCGCAATTCCCCCGTCCTCTTCAGGAAGCTCCTGATGAACCAGAGCATCCGCCTGCAGCGGCGCTTCACCGTGGCGCATCCCCTCTGGTAAGAGGGGGACGCTGGAGGGTCCCCGGGGGGGTGGTGGCACCAGGCTGTGCTGCCAGGATGGGGTCAGGGGACCCACCCCCCCCAGTGCCGTGTGCCCACGGGGACAGGGGGGACGAGGAGGGGACAGCGGGTGTCCCCACATGGCCAGGGGCTGAGCCGGGCAGGGGGGAGCCGCTGGACGAGCGCGGCTGAGCACGGACACGCTCATTGCAGCGGTGGCCAGGCAGGGACCCGCGGTGGGGTGGCCCGGTGGGCAGGGAGAGGGGCTTTTCCCTCCAAATCGAGGCACCAACTCACCCACCGCGGTACCTCCCTGCCCTCCCCGGCTCGGAGCTCTGTAGGGTTGGTTTTGGGGTGCCCCCCCTGGGTGCCGGTGGGTGCCGGCCCCACCTGCGTGAGCGCTGTAGGGCTCAGCACATCCCTCCGCAACAGCAACTATTTATAGCGGCCCCGGCCCCCCCCCCCCAGCCCGGCACGGGCACGGCTCGGTCATTAACGCCGAAACGAGGGGGGTTAATTCGGCACCAGCCCCTTGGCGGGGGCTCGTGTCCCCCGGGGCTGTCCCCTGCGGTGGCAGCGGGGTCAGAGGTGGTGGCACGGGGCCGGGAACAGACGCGGGCATCACCCGCGGGGCCGTCGGAGGGACAATGCGGCTTTGTGTCCCCGGTACCATCGGGGATGGGAAGGCGAGGCAGGAAAACAAGGGGCTGCGGGGATGGCATGACGCGGTGCCGGCTGGCACTGCCACTGCCGGGGACGGCCACGCCACAGGGACCGGGGCTGCCGGAGCGGGACGATGCTGCCGGGCAGCCGGTGCCCGTCCCGGAGACACTCCTGCATCTGGTAGGTGCTGGGCTCCCGCTGGGGACAGGGTGGCCCCAGTGGCATCCGCGCTTTCCCAGTTCTCCCCGTGCTCCCCGTCCCCGCGGCGGTGACGGACAGGCGCTGGATGGCCCTCGCTGTGTCCCTGCTCCACGCAGCCTTTCCCATGACCCCGGGACCAGCAGGAGGGGGGCGAGGCGGCCGCGGCCAGCTTGGGGACACTGCAGGGTCACCACCCCTGTCCCCAAGTCCCCTGTTCCCCCCCATGGATGCACACGGCTGCCAGGTGACTCCGGGTGAGGTGCCCCCGGGCTGTCACCAGCGCGTCCCCAAGGGCCAGGGCTTGGCTTCTGTGGCATTTTCTGTCCTTCGATGTCCCCTGGCTCTGGGCCATGGCTTGGACACTGTCCCCTCCATGGGACACGGCACCCCCGAGCCAGAGCTGATGGAGGCTTTGGGGCTCTGGAGGACTTGGGATCACAGTGCTGAGGACAGGGTGGGGATGGCACAGGCAGGAGCTGGCCCTGCCCGGGGTCTCTGGAGCTGGGAGCTTCAGGGTAGGGGGGGCCTGTCCCACCTGGGTGACATGGGACAACCTGGCTTTGCTGGCAGGGAGCTGAGAGGGTCCATGTGCACTGAGTTGTGCCCATTC